TTTTTTTTTTTTTGGTACAAGGACCTTCCGGTTTCCGAATCCACAGGGGAATCGACTAATCCAGAATCGAGTTGGGTTGGACCACAAGGGCGGCAAAGCTCTCCCTCAAGAGTTTTAACACTGCTGCATTCACAGAGCTCGAACACGAGATCACTAGTTAAGCTGGAAGAGACCCAAGCCATTGAATTGTCATATGGATTAATTCGTCGGACTTTATTATATGTTATACTTCTATTTATATTATTTTTTTAATATGATTAATGAGAATATGCATATTTGTGACGACATAATGATTAAACCAGCCTAATAATGGCAGTGAAATTATAAAACTTAAAATCAGTTGGACAAATTATATTTGTGCAGAAAGAAATTATAATCAGTTTGGACATTTTATATTATGCACAATACAAAGATATCGAAGTCTCACAATGTACAATTCATAACATTATCCATAAAGTCCTATTTTGTAGAATTAGTTAATATGTCTATCAACTGATGTAATAAGAGATTAATCGAGTATACAAAATGGCAGGTGTGTAACAAAAATTCTATGGAGCCATCGGATAGTTTTTTTATGCAGTTATCCATCACTTAAAGTATTGACACATGTCCAAAGTGTATTTATTGTAAGTCACGTGTCAATACACTATTTGTAAATGACTCCATAAGCCAAGCCATGTGATGACTTCATAAAAAACTGTAAGATCTTTAACATGTGTTTGTGACATATTTTAGTATGTCAATTGTGGATAAATGAAAGTTGTATGACGTGTTCGTGGTTAATAGTTTGTTTTATGCACACGTACATTATTCCATTAACAAGAGACGTGTTAAAATATGTGCATTTTATCCATAATATTGTGGATAGAAAATTCTTGATGAATCAAATATAATGATTCATTATGTCTTGAGTCTCTTTCAGCTTAATCAGTGGTCTCGTGTTCGAGCCCTGAGAATGCTGTAGTGTTAAAAACTCTTGAGAGAGAGCTTTGCCGCCCTTGTGGTCCTACCCAACTCGATTCCAAATTAGTCGGTTCCCCTATAAATCTGGAAACTGGAAGGTTCCTGTATCAAAAAAAATATAATGATTCTTTTGTAGATTATATGTATCATTTTCTTAGATAAAGATGATTTGAACTTTTCAATCGTGCTTTTATTCCAAGAGGAAATATATCTAAATGAAAAGGAAGTCTAAATCCATGTGCTTCACGAACTAATAGCTTCAGATTACAACACAATAAATTTTGATGCTTTATGAGGATAATATTTGTTATAATTTTTTTTTTCAATAAAATTATTGTATTATTTTCCGAGGTCGTCACTCTAGCGTCACAAAAAATGTTTATTTCACGTATTTTCATTCGTCGTAAGAAAAAAAAAATAACTTTCAGTGACATTGAACTCGTCACTTTACGATTAAAATTCGTCATCCGAATATTTAAATTCTCATTAAAAACTTCACAATTTATATTTATTACTTTAGTCATCATAAATAGGATATTACTTTAGTGAAAAAAAATAAATTTTACAGTTAACTACTAATTGTGATAACGTCATCATAAAATGTGTATTTATGTGACCAAAATTAAAAATGTCACAAATATAGTATTCTTGAGCAAAAGTAATTTTTCTAATTAATAATTAGTAAAATGTGACAAAATCGTCATAAAATAAATGACAAAATTGTGAATGTCTTTACTTTGCTAGTGACATAAATGAAATTTACCACAACTAATTATTAAATGGTAACGATATATTCCAATGGAAATTCCAACGGATATTCCAATGGAATAGCTTCCGTTGGAATAGTTCCAACAGAAATTTCAACGGAAATATTCCGTTGGAATGTGTTTTTCATTGGAATTTTAGATGGAATTTGATGATTCCAACGACTATATTTCCAACGGCTTTTTACCGTAGAAATTTCCGTTGAAATTTTTTTTCCTCCCCTTGGAAAATCCACTGTTGGAATCGTCAAAATCCAACGGAAATTCCAATAGAAAACTCATTCCAACGGAATATTTTCGTTGGAATTTACGTTGGAATCCATTGCAAAATTCCAACGGAAATAATTGTAATGAAATATCCGTTGGAATTGTCGTTGGAATAATTCTTTTGAAATATATTTTCGTTGGAGTTACATTATTTTTTTGTGGTGCGTTATAAATATGTGATGACAATAAATAATGTTATTAGAAATTTAAAAAGATATAGATTTCTTTTTTTTTAATTGCACACTAAATGTGAGATAAATTGTTATTCATCTCACACAAAATAGTTAAAAATATAACAACTAATGATGCAAGTAAATGCTGATCATAAAAAGAAAAGTAATTTCTTGTAACAAAATTAATATTCATCATATTTTTAGACTATTTATAAATAATCTGAAAGTAATCCAATAAATCTTGCAGTAACCTAATTCAATCCCTACGATTGATACAAGAATCGTTTTTTTCTTTCTTAAATATATTCATTTTGATAAAATAAAATAATTCGTGATTCATGTAGTAATGTTTATAACAAGAAAAAAATATATCAAGATTTTAAATTATATAACAAAAAATAAATTAATTATTTCTTACTTTATGCATATATATAGAATAATAAATATAATAAATTTTAAAATATAAACTAAATTATTCAATTTCCAAGATGATGCATACATACTTTATTAGGGTTGATGTAACTGAACTCGATGTAGAGTTAATTAGTGCTTGTGTTAATTTGCATTATATTATTTATAAGTTATTAAATATCATAAGTATATGATTATAACGAGTACAACGCATTAGAAATAGATTAAATCATATGATGTAAAATAAATGGTTATAACTATTAATTATATATTGTTAACTAATTCTTTATAATTCAGTTTGAGTAATCTTTCAATATTATTATAATTGTAGAATTTCTTTTATGTTCTAAAGAAACGGGATGAAATTTATGAAAATGGTGTTTCTATAATAATTTCTTTTTGTTATTGGATTGTGAAGAGTCAATCAATAGTAAAATTATTAAATATTGTTTCTAAAAAATACTACGATCTTGTTACGGAATTAATTTGTTAAAATTTGTAATGGTAAAATCAATTATTCCCGACAGTTATATGGCGATTGGTTATAAGAAAATCCCATTAAGGAGTCAATGGTCTTCGACATTGGCATCGACTGTTACCGTCTTTTCTATCACCCAAAAGGCGTAAAATTTCAGCTATAAAATCGGAGCAAAAGAGTGCTTTATAATATCACTGATGTAACCATCACCCGACCAAAAAGAAAGAAGAAAACGCGCACACCTTTGAATTTGATCTGCTTCACCTAACAATCAGAGGATCCCCAAAAAGTCCTCCCAAATCGCAATCATGGGCTCCTCCGACGGCGATGGCCCGTCGCAATCCCCCCAGCAGCACGTCGTCGTAATGCGCCACGGCGACAGGCTGGACAACTTCGTCCCCCTCTGGGCGGCGTCGGCGCCGCGCCCCTGGGACCCGCCCCTAGTCGACGACGGCAAGGTCCGAGCGTTCGGCACCGGCGAGAGGTTCCGGAGGCAGCTGGGTTTCCCGATCCACCGCGTCTTCGTCTCCCCCTTCCTGCGCTGCCTCCAGACCGCCGCCGAGGTCGTCACGGCCCTCTGCGCCGTCGCCAACAATTCCGACGATCCGAACGACGTGACCTCGAACGGCGTCGTTATTGATCCGTCCAAGGTGAAGGTGAGTGTCGATTTGATCCCTAAATTCGCCGCATCTGTTGATTGTGTAAAACGGGATATTTGGTTTTCTTATACTGTTATTAAATGTCGAAAGGTCTGCCTGATTACAATCCGCATTTGGTTGTGTTTATGTTGTAATGGTTGAATGAGTGGATAAGTGTAATGAGATGTGACTTTGTGCTGACATGGGTCTTTTCGAATCACTCTAATGTATGATATGGGAAATGATATGCTCTCATTACGGAAATATCCCGTCGGGTGTTTTAACCGTTATATCATCTATCTTACACTAACTACATGTGTATCCAACGGTTATAACTCCTGACGGGATGGTTCCGTAACGAGACCGTAGCATTTCCCCGTATGATTGATGTTTGCCTGTTGCAAAATGTCGTGGTGAGGCATGTTTTGAGTTAACATGTACATGCATATCTGCTTCGTAACAAGAATTGTCTTGCTTTCCTTATAATATTTCCTCAATGTATTAATCACCTTAGAAATTGAAAAAGTACAGTGTTTGTTGTAAATTGTAATAACAGTGTTCAGCATCACTGATAAATTCTGTTTAGTACAAACTCAGTCATTATTAGCATTCTACAGTGCCTCTGCTTTTGTGTTCGAGTATAAACAACGGTCAACGCGTTTGATATTTATTGATATACTGTGAATCTGATGAACTGCTGTCCAACATAAATAACAATATGATTCTGTAATTGTAAAAATAGTGTTTAGAAGTAATCTGTCATCAATCTTGGCCCATTCTCAATATTAATTCACTCTCCAACATGCTACAGTACTATCAACTAAAACTCTTTTGCATACCTCCAGGTCTCAATCGAATACGGGTTGTCTGAGATGATGAACTCCGTGGCTATCCGAGATTCCGTGTCTCCAAAAGATGGGATTTTTACCTTTTCCATCTCCGAGTGCGAAGCTGTTTTACCGGCTGGAACAATTGATAAAACCGTTGAAATGGTTTACAAGGAGGTGATTTCACCAAAATCTTTCTCACATGCTGAAACCTTTTTAATTTTGCTAGTATCTATAATGTGATCTTTAAAAGTTTAATTATTGTATGTGCTAAAAGTTGCTTTTTTTTTTTTTGGCACGTGCATGTAGCTTCCCCGATGGCAGGAGACAGTAGAAGGTGCCAGGGCTAGATATCTTGAAGTCATCAAGACTCTTGCTAACAAATATCCTTCAGAAAACTTGCTGCTAGTAACACATGGTAATTTTTTTTATTTTTTTTTTCGCCATCGTCAAAGTGCGTGAATTGCACTTGGGTTCTTAGAAATTTATTTTTTGGCATTATTGCTTTCAGGGGAAGGAGTTGGATCTGCTGTTTCCGGTTGCTTGCCAGATTTTATGGTATGTGAGGCCGATTATTGTGCGTATTCCGTCTTGCGTAGATCCATGGCTCTGGGTGAAAATCAGTCGTTTACCGTCTTGGGGTCTCCTAAAGGTCTGTCTGGTATTTCATTGATTAGAATACCTGAAGAAGCTGCTCAAACCTCCGTTTAAATCAAGAACCAACACTCGTGCTCATTTCTCTGTCTTCTTGAAGCATGAACCGCGCGATAATAATAATAGCTTAATAAAGATAATCCTTTCGAAGATTTGTACCAAGCTTTAGATCTCGTAAGGCGCCCAATGTTGCATTTTCGTACTCACAACATTCTATGAAAGCATTATGAAAAAAATAAAACAAAAAAGATCCATTGTACTTGCAAAATTTGATGTTTTTTCTACTTTCAGGATGAAGTATCCTTGCCACTGGCTCCTGTGTGCCGTTGTATCTTAAATCTTTTGTGCTCTTTAACCTCTTATGATCCTATTTATCTCAAAAACATTTCTAGATTCTAGCATATGACGAAAAATGCAGTACTAATTGAGATTCAAATTTACCATTGGAATATCCTTTGTTAAGGTAGTAATGATATGAACAGCAAGTAGAATTCATTCAAACGCAACAAGAAACGTACACTTCTGTAATGGATACGAATCTAATTGAATAGTCGTACAATAGAAAAGCAACCGAAAATAGTCAGATCGTGAAACTCTAAATATGAACAAGAGAAATTCGACCACCTCTCACGACCACTCTGAAGGGCTCGGTATGTGATCAAATATGTCGATCGGCGGAAAACCATCAATCAAACAGCTGATGTCTGGGCCAAGTGCA